ACCGCATTCGTGCCTTCAAATTGTCTCTCCAAGATCCTCCAGGCTTCTTGAGCAGTCGTGCACTGGATTATTATCTTGTGCCGGGTGGGATCTACAGCAGACATGATAGCATATAAATCTCGAAAGTTAGCCTCTTCTGCTTGCCTTTCGTCGTCGGTCCAGATGCTCCTTGGTTTCTCAACCAGTAATTTGGTAGTTGATGACTTCCCGTCCGATGACTCACCACCCTTAGTCTCAGCAGGAACGTTTTCTTGAAGTGGTAAAGTCCAACCATTCTCAACAGCCTTCCATGTTCCTTTACCAAGGGATTGAAGGAAGATCACCATCATGGATTTCCAGTACGAGTAGTTAGAACCATCAAGAAACGGAGGGCGCGTAACAGACATCCCATCATGACTCATGGTGCCCGATACACAGTCCCAAGGATCTTTATCCTGTAGCTAGAACAGGAACACTGCTCTGGTGCCAATTGAAACGTATAATTGTTACGGAGTGCGCTTATCGGTGGTACGAACTGAAATAAGAATTCAATAATGCGGAAGCAGAAAACCGAAGATTAAAAATCTCTTCAGGGAAGTATCCCACTTCCCCTCAGAGCTCTTTCATTGATAGATCAAACATACACATAGCTTGGACTTACAAAGGCTCGAACTCCCTTCAAGCCTAGCCAACACTACACAGATCCTATCAACTATTTCTCCGGCCACGTCCCGTGGACTTTAACAATCTACACTTACTCCCTAAGTGTATAAGCTGTAAAGAAGTTTTGGATGAAACACAAAGAACTAAATAAAAACAGTTTCAGTCCTTGAGTGAGTAAGAACTCTCAGACTGAACTGTGTACAACTGAATAAAACACAAAGTGTATGAAGCTCGAATATTGCTCTAAAATTCTTGTCACTTCAGCAGCCGCAATAGGAGCTCTTTCTAGGGTATATATACGTACTCCTTAGGGTTGGAGTCTTCTACAAGGCATGGGACTCCAATATGATTTCTTTCCTTGATTATAGCATAAGAGTTTTGGTAAGTGAATCTTCTTCTCTCTCTCCTTGATCTCCTTAGCATACACGCCTCTCCCTTCCTTATCTCCTTCCCATCCGATTTCCTACAAACTAAAGTACCATAATAAGATCCACAATATCTTGTATATGGAATACAAAATAATCTTAATTAAGGAAACAATTAAGTAAAGATCTTCCCTGTTTCTGTGGTTCCAGGTGCTTGTTCGAACCTTTGAACTAATGCCAAAATAAAATATCTTTCACTATCAACAGACTATTCAGCACAAAACAACACACAAGCAACACATACTTAGCCGAAACCATATCGACTAAGTGACTCGTGGATTCCTTGACCGAGTTAAGTACTTTGGAGTGACTAATAGACCTAAACACAGCTCAAATACCTCAGATTATACACATAAATAATGCCAACATCAATATAATCCAACCCGAACCTAAACAACGGACAACCGAGCATTAAGACACCAAAATAAACAAAATTCAGAATCTGGAGCTGGACTCCACCAATCAACCTGAAACTTTACCACATATAACAGCATATAAAAAAACTTACCCTCACCAAGTTTCAGCTCAAAATTCATCCGGGAGTATTTTTAAATAATTAAAGCAAAAACAGTGTCAAAATCCGATGTTATCATTGCATATAGCTACACTTTGAATTTTAATCTAAAATTTTAACACAACACATAATATCTCAAAATAACATACTCCTCAAGGTTTCAGCTCAAAAATCCAAGTGTACGATTTTTATTGAATTTTACAAGATTCTGACCAGAAACCGATTTATATAATTAAAATAGTTACAGATGGAGTTTCGACTTGAAAATTTTACACGACTTAGAAAATTATCACAACAGATCACATATAAAATTTCACGGTATTCGGACAATAACACGATTTATCATGAATTAATTACGATTCAGCAGCACGCTCGGTTTGTAAAAATCATAACTCGCAATATATACATCGAAACGACTCCAAACTTGAACTAACAGCTCAAGGACGACTCCAACTACTTAGAACTCCAAGAATTCCACGAAAAACACAAGTTCACTTCAGTTTCGGTAATAAACCGAAGCAACGGCAAACACAAATATATATAACTCGCACTAATTCATCAATAAATCACATATATGTATCAAAAATCATCACTTAGGCATATATTATAACACAACACATCAATATAAAGAGGGATTATCAGCCCGATTACCGTTCTCGGGAAACATCGAACGAAAGGATCGAAAACAGGGCTGAAACAGACTTCACGAGTGCACCGACGGGGCTCGACGGCTAAGCTTCGGCTTGCTCTAGAGCTGTGTGGGTGTT